TCTAACCTTGAGGTCAGCAATTTGAAACTACCAAAGGAGAAACATGAGACTTTTCTGTTCCCATACAGATTTACAGGGGCAGCTGCAATGGGTTCAAACATAGCAATGATTGTGAGGTTGGCCCAGGATCGGGCAGTGTTTCATTCTGTTATGCACAGTGTCACTATGAGTTCGTACTGACTTGATGGTTTCAAACAACAACAATAGCAAAGATTTAAGCCTCAGAAACCCTATACAGGGTCGCTATGAATCAGAACCACAGCACATAGCCAATCACCAACTATATATATATGGCACTCTGGTAGTGTAGTGGTTACGAATCGGGCTGTGAACCACAAGGTCAGCAGTTCAAAACTACCAGCGGTTCCATGGGAGAAAGATGAGGCTTTCTGCTCCTGTAAAGATAGATAGATGGATAGATAGATAGATAGATAGATAGATAGATAGATAGATAATAGATAGATAGATAGATAGATAGATAGATAGATAGATAGATAGATAGATAGATATAGATATACACACACACACACACACATATATACTTTTATTTTTGTTCAGTCTGTTGAGTCTGTTCCAACTCATAGCAACCTTTTATAGGGTTTCTGAAGAGCAGCTGGTGAGTTTGAACTGTCAATCTTGCAGTTCAAATCGACCACGTAGCCCAGCGCTTATCCTCTAGCACCATACCAGGACTCTCTCTATACATATATACATACAAACATATACAAAGTGCCTCAGAAAGTTTATATAAAATTACATATGATTTGAACCACAAAGTCAGTGGTTCAAGCTAAACAGCTGCTCCTTGGAAACCCTATACAGGGTCACTATGGGTTGAAATAGACTCGATGGCACTAAAACAAATATATATATATGATTACACAAAACTAAAAGCACATAAAATTATTTTACCCAGTCTGCATTTTTCAGCTCATCCAGGTCTGTGCTAGATTCATCATTCTTCTCCATTTCTTGTATCTTCTTTAGATTCTACCAGTTAAAGAAAAAAATAGGTATGAAAATTTCATTAAGCTATCTTCTCATATTACAATTCCTACTCTAGCTTCAGATATTACACACAAATTATATTTTAAAAGAGCTTACAGTCAATAATAAAATGGATAAATGTGTCCAGTAGTATGGCTGAGATTGTTCATTCTACTTTCCTTAAGGTGTTTTAGATGCACCCTTCACTTAACAATATTAATTCTCAGCTTCTAAGCCATACTGACACCTGCTTCTTGCTTATCAATTTTATGTTACCACTTTATATTACCATTATTATTGTTATTACTTTTTTTTTTTTTTTTTTTTTTTTTTTAACTAGAGTCCTCTTCTTTTCATCTGCACTGCATATCTCTTACTATAAACACTATAGAGCCTGGATTCTCTGTCAGGTCTCTGTTTTTGGCACTCTCCTCTCACATCCATACCTGGTCTCCACCCTGGACACTCTCCTCTATTTCCTGCTTGATTTCTTCAGTAGATGCTCTCCTCTACTTACCAACATGAAAATTCTCCTTTCCTCTCCCTTCTGGCTTGGTCTTTGCCTTGGATGCTATTCTTTCTTCACCCTCCCTATTTTTTTTTTTTTTTTTTTGTCTATTCTTCCTTTTCCTTTAGCTATCAGGCTCAACAGAACTCCCAATTCCTAGGGAAGTCTTTCCAATCTCCCTGATGAAACCAAAGCCTCCAATTACATAATTTTATAATATCATATGTCTTTTCACTATAGCACTTAACATTCAGTGTTACATTTATTTGTGTGAACATGTATATGCTTTACCATTAGACTTCACAAGGCACAATTCTAACCTCAGAAGGTAAGATAAATATTAGCACTTAGTTGATGTTCAATATACATTATGACAGCATAGTGGTTACGAATTGGGCTGCGAACCTTAAGGTCAGCGGTTCGAAACTACCAGCCACTCCAGGGGAGAAAGATGAGGCTTTCTACTCCAGTAATGATTTACACCCTCGGAAACCCTGTACAGGGTCGCTATGGGTCGGAACCGACTCGACGGCACTTAACAACAACAACATACATTTGTCAAGTAGTTAATAAATAAATTTCAACTGATAAAACACCTTTAAAAGCGCATGGATTCACCATTTGTAACTTTAAGAAAAATTTTAGTATTAATATAAGTTTACACATATTCATTGTAAATTTGTGATATATCATTCCTCTTCACATTAACTCAATTTGAATCTACCTTACTTTTTTTGCTTAGTTATTTGCCTACTCACATTTAGACGGAATTTAGATATAATATATGAAACCTACCTTATTTTACATGATAAAAAATAAAACATTTCTAAACCATCTATTTTTAGCTTCTCAACACCTCAGATTAGCCATATACAAAAATGAAGATATACCACTTGCTCTTCTGGACTTTATAATGTACATGAGTATTAGTACAGAAGGAATAAAATTACTTTGAAGACTTGAATAAAAAGGACTAAAAACAACATTATTTTCTCACTAGGAAAGAAATCTGAAAAAAAGAAAAAAGAATTACTTATTATTCTAGTGTATGTTTCCTTTTTATTAAGAAATGGGTGAAGGTTTACAGAGGAGATCACTTTTCCATTCAACAATTCATACATTTTCTTTGAGCTCATTGATTACAATCCCCACAATGGAATATTACTTATGTCACTTCTTCCCTTTGATTCCTGTCTCCATTACTCCCCTTCTTCTAATCCTTCTGAACTCGTTCCTTGATTAAATGTTACATGTTTTACTTCAAATTGTTACTTATTCTAAGGTCTATGTATCTCATTACTTCACCTTATAGACATGTCTATTGTTTGGCTGGAGTCCTGGTGAGGCGCTGTGGGTTAAGGTGCCAGACTGTAAAGCCATTTGAACTGCAAGGTCGGTGGGTCAAGCTCACCAGCTGCTCCTCAGAAACCCTAATAAAGCACCCTGATAAAATACCAGGGTCACTATAGGTCAGAACCGACTCGATGTCACATAACAACAACAACAACATTGTTTGGCTGAAAACTGATGTTTCATAAGCATTCTTTAAAGAAATGTCAGGTTTTATGCATGAGATGATAGAATCAGACATTTGCTATGCATCAGTTTTATGATTTTGTCTAAGTTAATCATCACATAACTTACAATATATTGTTCTGTGTATTAAATGAAACAAAATGCTAAAACAAATTATTGGCACACTGCTCAGTACAGATAATAGCTTTAGGATAATTTCATTTACCTTCCAAATATAATAAATCAGAACTTATTACATCATGTTGTTGTTTTTGTGTGCCATCAAGCCAATTCTAACTCATAGTAACCCTACTGGGCAGAGTAAAACAGTGTTTTACTATTCTGCAATCTCTACAGGTGCAAATTGTCAGATATTATTTCCCATGGAGCAACTGGTAAGTTTGAACCATTAACTGAGACAGGGGAGAAGGGGACACAGGAATTAGAATTAAATATGAGCCACTTATTAACTGAAAGCTTGTGACCTAAATCCTGAGGAATCTGAAGCCTTCTCTCCTCCTTGCTTGAGTAATTGTAAAGATGTGCAGGACATGCCCAGGGCACATAGTTGAGCAACCACATCCTGGGACATGCCATTAAGAAAGCCCACCTATAAAAATTCCATATTTTATGGGACTTCCCATTAAAGAATGCCACCCATAAAAATTCTGTATTTTGACTTCCTTGTGACTGTATTTTGACTGGTTTACTTGGTGTCCAAGGCATAATTTTTTTTTCACTTTTTTTTAATAGTGTTTTATTGTGAATTATATGGTAGTTTACATGGGAGAACATTAGTTTTACATTCATTCTATCGTACATCCTATCATTGCCATGGTTACAATCCCCTCCATGCATCATCAACCAACCAAAGGGTATACCCTGCAAGCCTGCACCCTACACTATACCACCCCCACCCCCCACCCAGTCTTCAGCACACAGTCGCTCTCCCTCTCTGGATGGAGCAGGCCCCAGCTGCTCCATCACTCCACGTCATTGTCTCTGCCTCCATCTCAGGCATCACTGTTTCTCTGGGTAGGGTCCTGCTCTCTGCTCTTCTCTGTTGATGGTCCTAGGGACCTCTGCTCCTAGACTGAAAAGTTAATCACTTCCTTCCTTGCTATGAAATGTCTACCTTTACATTTCCAACCTTCACAATCAGTCCTGATTAACAATTATTCACTACTGTATCGTAAGAGACCCATCTGCATTTCATTTCACCAACTCCGCCAAGGCATAATTTTAAAGAACAAAACTTCTGCTGAGGCAAATGAGAATGCTAGTCTGAATTAAGGTCCTAAAGAACCACGCATGTTCAACATTCAAGAAATAATTAATTTTCCTCTGCTCCTACAAAAGGCTTTTGCAATGGAATCTATCTTGAAGAAATATTGCATGTGCACCCAACTGCCATGTTGTCGTTGCTGTTAAGTATCATCAAGGTGAATTCAACCCATAGCAATTCTGTTTCCCAACATTTCTTTCTATTCCACTCAAGTGTCTATTTTACAATAGTAGGCAAGGGAAACCAATATTCATAAGACAGTCAAGCATTTTAGTATAATTTTCCCTCTTCAGCCTATGCCTCGATCCCTGTGTCACAAGAGTCTTGTTCCAAGGCTGAGCATACATCACTATTTACCTCTTTCCCAGTTAGCACATGCAAACCTGTCTCAATGTTCCTCTATCTATCTTGTTCTTCCACACCCTCCGCCTTCTTGTGTATTGCCCTCCTCAACACCCAAACTATGATGCATCTGCCCCCTACCCTGTGCTCTACCGTCACCTCTCTCACCTCCCCCAAACTCACCCGCCCCCACCGGTAACCAACAAATACTTTTTTTTTTCCTTTTTACTATGGGTATTTTTTCTTAAGCTTTTACATTAATGGTCTTATGCAATGTTTGTTATGCCTGACTCATTTCACTCAGTATAATGTACGCAAGTTTCATCCATGTTATGTGGTGGCTTGCAGCTTCCTTGTTATTCTTCAGTGTAGCATAATATTCCATTGTATGTATGTACCACAGTTTGTTTATACATTCTTCAGTTGATGGGCACTTGGACTGTCTCTATCTTTTTGCTATTGTAAATAGTGCTGCTATGAACATTGGTGTGCATATATCTTCTTGGGTTATAGCTCATATTTCTTGTGGGTAAATACCAAGTAGAGGAATTGTTGGATCATAAGATATTTCTATATCCAACTTTCTAAGGAAGCGCTATACTATTTTCCAGAGTGGTTGGACCATTTTGCATTCCCACTAGCAATGTAGGAGGGTCCCAGTCTCTCCACATCCTTGCCAACATTTATTGTCCTCTGCATTTTTGAACTTCGCTGTTCAACTTTGCTGGTGTGAGATGATATTTCATTGTTGTTTTGATTTATTACCTCTCTAATGGGTAATGGAAGTTCTGGTGTGGTGCTGTGGGTTAATGCGCCAGACTGCAAAGCCATTTGAACTGCAAAGTTGGCAGTTCAAGCTCACCAACTTCTCCTTGGAAACCCTATACAGGGTCGCTATGGGTCAGAACCGACTTGACGGCACTTAACAACAAAAATGGCTAATGATCATGAACACTTTTTCATATGTTTGTTGGCTGCCTGAATGTCTTCCTTAGCGAAGTGTCTGTTCATGTCCTGTGCCCATTTCTTAATTGGGTTATTTGTCTTTTTCTTGTAGAAATTAGTCAGTTGTCTGAAGTATCATTGTAAAAGATTTTTTCCCATTCCATCCAAGAAGCATCCTTGCTGTACCTCTTCCATCACAGACCCATTTGTTCTTTTGACAGTCCATGGTACTTTCAATATTCTTCTGTAACAACACAATTCAAATGCATTTATTCTTCCACAGTCTTCCTTATTCACTGTCCAACTTTTATACTTATATGAGCCAATTGATAAAAACATGCCTTGAGTCAGGCACACTTTAGTCCTCAAACTGATATCTTTGTCATTTAACACTTTAGAGACGTATTA